TATATATATATATATACGTATATCTTTAAAATATCTACTAACGAGTACAGGTTTCAGGAATCGAGCAAGGAGACAAAATCTGCCCCTTTCTTCGAGAAGGGCCGCACGGACGGCTTTACGTTCCGTTTCTTCTAAACTCAGTCTTTTCTCTTGAACAACCGCCGCTGATGATTCTAACATCCTATTGAGCTCCACATCAGAACATGTCCCGTGGCTTTGAGACTGTCCTTGAACATGTAAGTGAACTTGAACCTTTCGTGCTTTCTTCTTTTGCAGACGTAGAGTATCGGTAGAGCGTTTCTTTAGCTCTGCCCTTGCCTTTTTGAATTCTAAAAATAGCGAGATATCGAATTACAGAAGGACGCTTCTTGAAAATGTAGTTCATCAAATTACTATAATAATCATTAAAACCTTTGGCATGTTCTTTGTCTAAATTGATCAAAGACTTCTTCCAATCTTCCAATTTCTCTTGTAAAGGCAGCACCAAACAGTCCATAATAGCGCTTAAAGAAACAAAGTAGACACGAGTGCAAAGAATATTCGGATATTAATTGAATAAAAATAAAAAAAAATTAATGAAATTGTACACAGGATATTTTAACATACCTAGTAAATGATTTCATACGAGTTTCCACCGCTTTATGTCTCAAACATATTCGTGTCAGTGCTGTTCCGATTTCCTTAGTTGCACCTTAATAATAATGTTATTTTAATATCGCTTTATTTTATATTTTATATTTTTATTTTATATTTTGTCTATTTTAATTGATTTAATAATTCAAATTATATAGACAATATATAAAAGATTTATTGTCATTAATTAATTAATTAATTAATTGATGCTTACCTCTGGCATTAGTCGCAGCATCTGCTATTTTCTGAAAAGCCTCAAGATATGCGGAAATAGCCAAAATGGCAGCTCTGCAATAATATATGTCTCACATTAAAGATAAAAATTTCTAAGTATCCTGAATCATGCAATTTCAATATTTATTTTATAAAAAATATGCAATACAAAATAATTATGTAAAATAATGTTCTTGTAATGTTGAAGCTATTTAATATAAAATATGTAATAAACATGTAATAAAAATGTGCTAGAAAAATGTGCTAGTGGAAAATCTTAATTATTATAAAATAAAATATATTTGAAATTATGTAAATCTCTTCACCTCAAACTTGCGTGTAGCTTTGTAGCTTTTGAAATCAAATCTTCCCAAAGTGGTGCTCCGTTCTATAAAAAGAAACAGTATTATACATATGAGATTTTTAATTTTTTTTTATTAATGTTAATATAGTTCTAATATTAGTTTTTATTGTATTAGTCAAACAGCAATCTGGACTGATATACTGGTAATAGATAATATAATCACACACGCCCCTGCATATTTTTTTCAATAATGTGTACATGTGTATATAAAATACTAATTTATATAATACTAGAGTTATGATTTCTTAACACATAGCTATGATTCATAAGAGAAACTAACTCATAGGAATAGAGGAAAAAAATGTTTTTGCTCCTGATTTCTCAAAGCAAACATTTTACTGTTTTAAATAACATTAGGATATTTTGTTTATACTTAAAAGTTAAAGCATTTGCTTTTACAAGAAGTTACAGAAATTATAAAGTATGAACAAATGAGCATCAATTAATAGAATTAGCTTGTCCTAACAACAATGACATTTGCAAGTTGAACTATAAAACAAATACATTGAAATAAAAACAAAAGAAATATATAAAAGATTATTATTTAAAAGAAACACTTGAATTCACTTGTTACAAATAGTTGCTCCATTTTTATTCATATCCAATTTATACATCTTAATAAATTACAATTGAAACGTTAAATAAATAACATAAATAAATATAAAATATCCAAAATATTTCTTCCAAAAGCTCTGTAAAGTCAAGAATTGCAAATCTCCAGGAATACTAAAATCTTGAAAAAGAAATAATTTCATTATACAGAGAGGAGTTCAATAAATATAATACAATCGGGATTCTCAGATAAAAAGGAAAAGAAATCATAGCAAGATAACATAAATCTTTAAATTCAAAATCCTCAGGAATTATAAAATCTCTAAACCAAGAGCGTCAGAGTAAACATTTCGACAGACATCGGTCTAAAATATAAAAGGTGTGCGGAGCGCGAATGACGTCGAGAACGATCGGTCGAGCCCAAATAAAACGGACGTTTCTTACCTTCATGTCAGTGACGATCTGCTGAAACAAACCGCCCAACGCGCTACACTCCCGCTCTATCGTCGCATCCATGTTTTTTCGCTTTCCAGAGGTTTGGCCTGAATCCAACTATTAGGTGGTACGGACGCTCTTCGCGGTAGACGCGACGAGTTCACTCCGCGTCATCGACGCGACAGACGTTGACGGAAACGACACACCGCCGCCAGCGGGGATGTGCGGTGCGGACCGTCATTTTCAATCGCGCGAGAACGAAAGGCGGAGAGACACGCGCGCACACACAGACACACAGAGAAAGAGGGGAGAAATCAAGACGAGGGAAAATGAGACAGGGTGACAGCAACGAAGCGTGGACGCGTCCACGATTTGCGTGTCCCGTCGTCGTCGCGAGAGTAGACTTTACCAACGGATGCGCACGGTGAATCTCACGAATCTTATCCTCGCCGCTCGCGACGCTCTGTAAACAACACAACACACAACAGCAATAACAGCGACGGACGACGGCGAGACGCGCGGCGTCCCGCACAATGCGACTGTCAACGAACGAATGGACGGACGATTGAACTCGTTCGCTCGCTTCGCGCGCGAATCTGTTTCTTCCGCGCCGCGCCGCGCTGGATCGTTGCCCTCTGCGTGATGACCCCGTTCTAGAAATCGGGATCGATGTTATTCGGTATGCGCCTAATCGTTATCCCGGAGGGAAAAGCGAGACGGAGAGGGACGGAGGATGGAGAAAGCGAGAGAGAAAAAGAGAGAGATAGATAGATGGGGAATATCTTCCGGATTTCATGGAGGCATGGAGCTTGTATACACTGTGCGGTTGGCTACGGTTGGCTAGCGCCGCTTTCGCGTGCCATTCTTACCGCTTCTCACTTCTGATTGGTCGGCTGTCGACGCGGTTAAATCAGAAAATTACTTTCACATGAAGAATTCTGAATAAGAGTCCAACTAACAAATAAGAGCAAGAGAAATTTAAATGTGTAGCATAAAAATCTATTTTTTTTTGCAAAGAAAAAGGTACAAATAATTTTGTTTGAATCTTTCTTTTAAAAAATAATTTTTCATTACACATAAATACACCATAATATATCAAAGATTTTTCAACTTATAAATTAATAAATAAATGTCGATTAAGTGACTCAATTAATTAAAAAATGAAGATCATTTCCTTTTTAAGTAGTTTTACAAGGATAGCATAAAATTGAGACTGATACTTTTCGATTTTTTTCTTTTTTATTATAAAATAATTTAATTATTTAAAAAATTTATAATTACATTTATAATTACATTTATAATTATGTCCTAATGTTACATTCTTAATTACAAGGGCGGCCATAACTGCGCTACTTCTGCATGCGCAGATTCCGGCAGCCACTTTTGATAGGCTGGCAGCAAAACTGAAATTAAAATATTTTACGTTCAATCGCAAAAATATATACAAATTTAATTATGTAAATATATAATGACATAATTATGTTTATCTAATATAATATAAATCAAAATAATCTTACATTTCTTATCCGAATCCCAGATTTCTATCAGTTTGTCTTTGGATAAGACTCCCTGCGACTGTAGAGTTTGTACTATTACTTGAGTGCGTGGTATCAATCTGGGAAAATCACAGAATTGGTATAATCTACCTGCTGAATCAGAATAAAATCGAAAGAAAATGAAACTAATAATTTACTTGGCCCATGACTTAGTGATGCTACCGGGTGTCGTCAGCAATGACGGGACAAATCGTTTCAGCTTAGGGCACACTTGACCCTCCAAGAAGAAATATGCGAACCATTTAACGCCGTCGACCGTCAATGGATGCTCTATATTCATCAATGGTAATACCCATCCGGCTTTTCCGAATGTACCGGATACGCGACAGATGATCTTCCCAGTTTTTGGATTATATCTATAAATAAAAATTATATTCGATAATAATAAAGATTAAAATCTTCATTAATAAGTTAGGAAAAGCATATTTTAAAATAACAATTGTATAATAAAATAAAATTACCTTGGCGGTGGATCAATCAATGGTTCACTGAGGCGACACAACATGGGCACGAATTTCGGCAACCATTCAGGTTCTATCGCTGTGATACCTCGCATGTACATCTTATTTGTTTCGTATATTTCTTGATAAACCACCCATTCCGGACTGGTTTTCCGTAAAGAACATGAAGAATGCATGAACACAGGTTCCTCCATTTGTGGTGTTCTAAAAGATAAGAGAGATAAAAGAAAATATACTCAATGAAATCTGAAGTATCGATAATTAACAGCAAACCTGTAGGCGTGTTTCCACTTGGCCTTATCTTGATCTTCTTTTATCTCATCGGGCAAAACCTTTTTCGCGACTTGATCCGCCATACCCGCAAGAACTATCTGGCGCAGCAATTTCGCTTGCATATCGGTCGGCAATGGCATTCTGTAAGAGTTTTTGTAACAAACTTCCTAAACATATTGTAATATACATAGTCGCGAATTCCAATGTTCTGAACAATCAGGTCTAAGAACTTCCTTTAAAAAATTTACTCTATATAGAATTTAGAATAGAAAATATTCAGAATAAAGATTTTTGTAATAAAAGATAAAACGTACTTTGGATCAATGATTAAATTTAAATTTGGTATATTTAAATTAATCTCATTGGTGAGCTGTTGCCTAAGTTTTCTGATCTCAATCACAGCCTTGTGTCTCAAGCCGTTTTCCTCACAAAAGGGCAACAATCTTCCCTTTGACCCTGCATACTCGGCAGTTCCGATGGCTCTTAACAAAACCATTAAATCGCCTGTACATAAACAGAAATATATATCGTTTATCGTTTATATTCGTCATAAATAATAATTATAAAAAATAATTATAAAAGAGATTACAATACCAAGCAGCAAACTATTGCCAGTCCCAGCCCAGTAACGACGTTTTTGGAGCCATTTGCTCTTAGTTGGACCCTCCATGTCAAGTGTTTCTATCAGTACTTCTTGGACACTGAGAGCCGCTACTATGCATATCGTGTATTTCGATAAATTATGCTGATGAGATAATGCCAGCATCTTGCCGTAACGTGGAGATACCGGAAACGCGGCGATACTGCGTCCAAGTGGTGTCACCTTCGTGCAGTATATCTCTAAACAGTGAATTATCAATTCCTTTAGACAACGTAATGTTTGAATTATAAAAAGAATCAGTGTATTGTTTCATATAATAATCAATTGCGAAGCAGTTACAATCATAGACTTCAATCTTACGATTATAATTTTCGATGCTGTCTAAATGATAATAAATGTCCACATTACCTTCTTCCTTCTTCGAAGGTGGCTGTAATGCTTCAAGTATCGTGAGTCGTTTTTCTGCAGACTTTAATTGCACAATATCCGGTGGCGTGGGAAATGGAAAATTTACGACTTTATCTATATTCATTGCCTTCATCTGCAGCAATAAATCGTCCACTGGTTTCCTTTGAATCTCTGATTG